GTGCGGGGGTGCGGGGGTGCCTGTGGCTTGCCGCGGCCGCATCCCTTGGCGACGAAAATGTGCGCCTGCGCATCGGGCCGCTCGTGGGACCCGTGCACATTCTGGTGAGCTTCGGTGTGGGCCAGGGCCGGCGCGCAGGGGTGCACTTGTTCGGGGCCCTGGTACGCGCGCTCCTGGACTCGTGTCGCCGGGTGGCGGAAGGCGCGGCGCTGGCGCCCCCACCTCTTGCTGGAGGCGCCCCGGAAAACATGTTCATGCTTCAGTTCGTGGACGACAGCTTCACTTTGCAGCCCGACGAGGCTAGCCTGGCAAGGGCGAACGGCGGCATGACTGAATTCTGCCACCTGTACCGCCACAGATTTCAGTCTGGCAGCAAAGGCCCCGCCGCGATGGTTGTCGGGGGGGCGCCGCTCGACGCCGCCGCGTGTGGCTCGGTAGACGGCGTCCCAGTACGGGCGGTGGATAACTTGGACGTGCTGGGCGTAGTCATCGACGCCGACTTGTCGCTCGAGCCCCTGCTCGCCCGTGTGTGCGCGAAGCTCCGCGAGTCCGCTCGGCGCTTGGTGGCAGAGCTGACCGACCACGGTTTTGGGATGCCAGTGCAGGCGGAGCAGCTTCCCGCCCGCGCGGAGGCTTCGGCCTTCTACGGAGCGGAACTCCTCGCCAGCCACGCCCGCGGCTGGAACGAAGTTGCAACCCAGCTGAACCGGGCGTACTATGACGTGGCCAAAGCGCTGCTGGGTTTGCCGCCAGCCGCATCCATGGGCACTGGGGGCTACGTGCGCCTGTTCCTAGAGACTCGGTTGTTGACGCGGGCTTCCAGCAAAGTGGCCCTCCGGATCGTTATGTCATGGGCCCGGATGCTCCTGTTGCCGGAGCAGACGCCGATTGCCCCGGCGGTGCGGGCAGCGCTGGCGCGCCAAGGCGGCTGTTGGCTGCATGACGCCGCCGCGGTGGCCGCCCTTTTCGGGGCGGGGGCGCCGCCGGAGGGCCTGGCTGTCGCGGCCCAGGCGGGTGCGCAGGCGAGGCGGCGCGCCCTTCGCGGCTGGGCCCGCGCGGCCGTGTTGCCGCGGATCCGTGAAACCGAGCAGATCTGGTTCCGGGAGCAGCTGGGCCGCTTGAACGACACCGGCCTCGTTCCCATCGCGGAGGTCCTCCCGCTGCACTGCGACTGGCCCCCCGCCCTCAGGTGGGCGTCATGGGGGCGAACTATGTGGCGATTCCACCGTGCATGGTGCGCCGCGCGCGTGTCCCTCCAGATCCCGGTCGGGGTCTGGGGATTGCCGGCGGAGCGCCTGCCCGAGGCGTGCCCGTTGTGCGCTGGCGGCGAGGGCTGCCTCCAGCACCTGATCGAGTGCTGTGCCGCCATGGAGGCCCACCGGGAGGCGGTGCATGCCGCGTGGGGCCCGCCGAGGGGCGAGCTCTTGCGGTGGGCGCTGCGGGACACGCTGGACGTGGACGAGCTAGCTGCCAAGGTGCGGCTGATAGGCGTGGCTGCATCGACTTTCGTGCACGCATGCTAGCGCCGACGGTCAGAAAGGGGCACGGCGGGCTCGCGCGTGACGCGCGCTTTCCCCACCTCCCTCCCCCTCCCTCCCTCCCTGCCTACCGGCACGCCTACAGGCACTCCCTGTCCCCTCCCCCCTTTGCCTACAGGCACGCCTACAGGCCCTCCCCCGCTCCCTGCTTACAGGCATGCCTACAGGCCCTCCCTGCCTACAGGCACGCACCCCCTCTCTTCCCCTCTCTCCCCCCCCCCTTTTTTCCCTTTCTCCCTGCCTACAGGCACGCCTACAGGCCCTCCCCCCGCACACACACACACACACACACCGCCTACAGGCGCCCCTGCCTACAGGCACGCCTACAGGCCCTCCTCGCCTACAGGCGCGCCTAAAGGCGCTCCCTGCCTAAAGGCATCCGCGCTCCCCAACGGCAGCGCCTACAAGCGCTACCTGCGGGGCCTTCCTGGCTGCGACGACCCATAGGGCCTATAGGTCGCGGGCGCTCGCAGAAGGGAGGAGCGCCGCGTATACGCGGGAACCAACCCAATGGGTCACAGTCCAATGGGTCCCTCCTCCTCCTCCTCCTCCTCCTCCTCCTCCTCCTCTGCCTCCTCCTCCTCCTCCTCCTCCTCCTCCTCTGCCTCCCTCTCCTCCCTCGTTCTCATCCCTCTCTCCCTCATCCCAGGTTCCTCACCCGCTTCGACCTTCTCGACTGGGCCCACCACGCCGGCGACGACGACGACAATGATGGTGGTGACGCCGACAATTGCGATGACGACGGCTCGACCGACGCGCGCGGCACGCTGCGGCGCCACCTTCCCAACTCCTCGAGCCTCCGCTCGCTTCCTTGCACATGTCTGATTCCGGAAACCCAAACAAGCTGCACACTCTCTTCGGGTGCATATTCTACTTCAGCCGGCCTCCGCCGGCCTTCCGCCGGCGGAGGCGGCCTCGGCTTACTTCCGCGGCTTCCGCCGTCCCTCCGCCGAGGAAGAGATGACCACTCTTCCGATCCTCGTAGGCGAGGCCCTCCCAGGAACGCCTTACATCACTGCGCACCTGCGCGGCCGGACCCCCATCGCCGCCAAGTACTGGGTGGCCTGCCGCATGTCCTCCCTCACGTGCACCGCAGTGAGCGGCACGCGCAGCTCGTCGCACGCCGTTCGCACCTGCTCCAGATAGTGCTCGCAGTCGTCGAAGAAGATCACCCCTCGAGGCTGTGGCCCCAGTGCTAGGCAGTACCGGGCCATCTCGGTCTTGTTGGGCGAGTGCCGGAAGCGCTGCCAATACGCCTTCAGCAGCTGCTCTTCTCGCTTCAGTATCTCCTTGTACGTGACGCCGACGGGCAAACCCTGGTCGGCTACGATTGTCACCTCAGAGTCCTCTGTGAGCCTCTCCCTGCCGCTCTCAAGAAGTGCTCTCTCCACCGCCTCGATCACATCGGCGTAGTAGCGCCCCACACCACGGCCCCAAATCGGATCCAGAAGCGTCGCTACGCCATGTACCACAAATCCCACCAGCCCTTTAGCGTGTGAGTGGTTTACCGGCTTTCCTCTTCCAACCCCTTTTCTACTTCTCTTCCTCTTCGGGGAGGGGTTTACCCTTCCAGTTCCCCCCTGGACGGGCGTTTCGCGATGTGTGAAAAGGTTTTTTGTTTGGCCTCGGCGGGAAGGCCAAATCACTCATGTTACCAAGGCTTAGGGCCCATTTTGGCCTCCTGGGGGGACGCCTAATTGGAATCCCGCCCTTCTTTGATTGACCACCTCAAAGATGGCCCCAAGATGGCCCCCCGAGGCTCCCGAGAGTGCCCCAAGAGGGCCCCAAGAGGCGCCAAGAAGGCCCCCAGACGCCTCCACGATGCCCCCAAGATGCCCCCAAGAGGCTCCAAAGATACCCCCCGAGGCCCCCCGAGACACTCAAGACGCTTTAAGAGGCCCCCAAGACGCCCAAACAGGCCTACAAGAAGCTCTCGAGACATCCGAAGACACTCCGAGAAGCATCAAAGAGGCATCTGGCCTTCATGTTCGCCCTTCTCCTCCTCCTCCTCCTCGTCCTCCTCATCCGCCTAATCCTCCTCCTCTCTCCTCCCGTTTCCCTACTCTCTCCGTCTCCTCCTCCTCCTCCTCCTTCTCCTCCTTCTCCTCTGTATCCTCCTCTATCCTCCCCCTCATGGGGTATGACGGCTTCCCAGCCCTTATTCCACTGTGTGCTCCCCCACATGCCTGATCAGGGCAACTCGCACGGACATCATTTCTGGAAGGGCTGGTGGGGATACGCGAAGCGTCTAGAGTTCCTTGTCGTTCTGCAGCCAATCTACGAGCTCGCATCGGAGCGCTGACCCCGCAATCGAGGAGGCCCCCCCTCCACCAACAGTGTACGCTGTAAACAGGTAGATGTCGCGGTATGCACGCCCAGCCTGGTGCAACGCATCAAACAATTCAACATTGTAGTTGAACGCGCGGCCGAGTGGCACGTGGGAAACGCGGTTCCTTTCAATCTGCGCTGGATCGAAGGGAGTATCCCACGCACTGGTGCCATCCACATCCACCCAGATCCAAATGTGTCGCTCTGCCTGCGCACTTCGGTCTGGGAGCGGCATGTGTCCCGAAGGGACCCGCACGAGGTGCAGCCTGGGCGGCCTCAGCCAGGACGGCACCGGACAGTGACGACGATGATGTCGATAATGATGATGCTGACGATGATGACGATGATGATGATGATGATGATGATGATGATGATGATGATGATGCTGATGATGATGATGATGACGGTGGTGCTGACGATGACGGTGATAGTGTTTGTGATAATTATAATGATGGTGCTAGTGATAACTATGATGATGGTGTTGGATGATGATGGTGGTGGTGATGATGCTGATGACGACGAGGATCATGACGATGGTGACGACGATGACGATGACGATTACGATGATTATGATGAGGATGCGGCTGATGCTTATGACGATGATGCAGCTGATAATGACAATATGTATGATGACGAACATGATTTATGCTTATGCTGATCATGACGATGACGATGGCGCTGACGCTGACGATGATGAAGATGAAGACGACGATACATGTCTATATAAACTGATGACGATTATGATGATGATGATGATGATGCTGCTGATGATGACGGTGATGATGATTATGATGATGATGATGCTGATGATGATGATGATGATGATGATCATGTGCATGGAGCCTGTGTGGCCAAACATTTGTTTGTTCGGCCACGGCCAGAACGCACATCTCGCCCGCGCTGGGCCAGCACGGCGAACGCATGGCGAAAACAGCTCTCTGCCGCCACCTTCCAGGCAGGCGCGCTGCCGCGCACATGGATATGTAAGGGTCGGGGGCGACGAGGCAACTCGGCGGCCTGCAAAGATACAGTTGACCCGTATCAGAAGGATGCACGATAAGCGTGCAAGGGCCTTGGAAGGCCGTTTCGAAGCTTTTTTCGGGTGGGAACCGGCCAGCGAAAGAGGCCAAGGATGGACCGAGGAGGCAAGGATGCAAGGGTACCCTTAGGACAACTGCCCATCCTTCCTATGCGGGCTCACTGTACCGCGGCGAGGGAGCCCGCTCACCGGTTCTCGAGGGGAGGTCTAGCCGGCGCCTGGTGCCGGCAGGCCGACAAGCAGACGACGAGCGTGGCTCGCACGCAGAGCATCGCCGTCCACATGCCGCGGGCCTCCACAGCGAGGGCCCGCGCAGTGGAGGCGCCAGCACTCCTGGCGCCGAACACCGCCGACGCGAGCAGCCGCCGCGCGCTCTTCCTCGGCCGCCTCCACAGCCGCACAGCCAACCTCGCGACGGCCTCGGCCTTCGCGCCCCTCCAGGCCGCGACGAGCGCGCCCCAGACGGACTCGCAAGCCCGCAGGGGCCAGAGAGCTCCCGGCACGACGGCGGCGGCGAGCGCGCGCAGCAGCGCTCGAAGGCTCAGCACCTCCGCGCTGACGAGGCGGCGAAGCAGGCGGGCGTCCACGAGAAGCGGGGAGATGGCCTCGGACCACTGGCGCCGCTCGCGCCAGGCGCCCTCCACGAGCTCGGCGAGCCGTGCCCGCACCGCGCCAGCCACCGCCGGGTCTCCCAGCGGCGCGGCGCGGGCGAACGCGCCGACGTGCCTCGCGCTGGCCACGGCGAGCTGCGTGTGCAGCAGCCCCCGGCGCAGGAAGCGCGGGTGCGCCGCCCAGGCCGCAAGCTCCGCGGGAGGCGCTGCGGGGGAGCGGCCCGGCGGGAACCACGCGCCGAGCAGGTGGTCGAGGAGCTGCGGGAAGGGCTCCAGCGCGCCCGCGAGCCTCCAGTCGCGGAACCGGGCGTGCTGCAGCTCCGCGCGCACGGCCTTCAGCTGCGTCAGCGGGAACAGGGCCTCGTCGTCCAGCATGCGCATCACATCCGCGGGGCCCCGGAGCCACCCCCAGTGCTTGCAGCCGGCCAGAGCGTCGAGGTGGCCAGCGTCCGCCAGGCTGGCCAGGGCGCCCCCGAGCACCTCCTCCCCGGCGTCCAGGAAGTGCGGCGTGGACACGAAGGCGAGGGCCTCCTTGCACGAGCACACCGCTCTGGACAGTCGCCCGCCAGTCCTGAGCATCGCTGCGACAGGCCTCGCCACCGCGCGGCCGCCTGCCTCGCACCAGGGCCCAAGCAGCGCAGGGAGGACCTCCTGCAGAGCGAGCTCGGAGAGCAGGTCGAGGAGCTCCCCCTCGCAGAGCGACGCCAGCTGCTCTACGAGGCGGAGATCGGACTGGAGCCGGCGCAGAACGTCACCCTCCAGGTCGTCGAACAAGTACTGCCTCACGAACGACAGCAGGTTCACGGCGCGGTGGATGTCCTCCATCTGCCCCGAGCCGTGCCACCGCTCAGGCCCCACATCCCCCTTGCCACCCGACCGTCCCGAGTGGACCTCGCGCAGCACCGCCGCCCAGCGCTCGGCCTCGCCGCTGCTGCCGCCGCGGAAGCGCACGCAGCCCGCGGAGAACTCGCGCCACGCCGACTCAGGCGCGAGCGCGGCGCGGAAGAAGGGCGAGGCTTCGCACAGGCGCTCCCGGCTGCACAGGAACGCGCGCTCCGCGCCCTCCTTGTGTAGAAGCCTCCCACATGGGCGACGATCAAAAACGAGTCTTACGTGAGATGGCGTAGCGACCTTGCGCGGTGGCTTACGCGGGCCGCCCGCGCGGCACGCTACGCTTGAAGCCAGGGCGCTTACGCGCGAGCTTACGCGGGCAGCTTACGCGCCAAAGTCGGCGCAGACGACCTCGATTTTTACGTCGCTCAAGTGGGGTCTGAGTAAGTGGGCTTGGAGGATCGCGCCGCATCGCGGATGCATCGGCGATGCGTCGGCGATGCGTCGGCGATGTGTCGGCGATGCGTCGGCGATGCATCGGCGCTGTCGGCGTGGAGAAGTTGGGCTCCATATCGAGCCGCATCGGAGATGCATCGGCGATGCGGCGCGATCCTCCGACCCCATCTACTCCGACCCTATTTGGGAGGCCTAGATCGTATGTAGCATCGAATCGGCAAATCGGGTCGGATCGGGATGCGCATTGAGCATCGACGTGGAGTCGGAATCGAGTCGGATCGGCCACGCCAATATGCACAGCAGCGCCATGGGAGCATCGGGCCGCATCGGATGGTCAGAACACATCGAAATCGCATCGACCTGGGCCAGCCGACACGGATGTCACTTCGGGCCGATCGGATCGAGACGGGCCCTGGATACAGTCGGGGCGCTGACCCAAGGAACCCTAAATAAGAGGAACGAGGCCCCTATTTTCCATGAGTTGAACTTCGATTCCATGTCGAAAACCTGGGGAAGAACCTAAGGCAAGCTGTGACACAATCAAGGAACACCGAGCCCCTCCCCAATGAAAAGGGTTCCTTCTCCAGGGCCCCGACTGTAGGCGAAGGGGGCGGCCCTCTCTCGGCAGAGGCACAGCGCCTCCCGGGAGGCAGCGGAGGCCCCTCGAAAGAGGGCTGGAGAGCTTCCGAGCAGCCCCCTCCTCGGAAGTCCCCCCCCCCCGGCGCCCCACTCCCAACCCAAGTCCGCTCAAAAAAGCTGGCACCCCGGCACCACCCCGGGTCCTGACCTGACTACCTACCAGAGCACCCCAACCCAACCCGAAGACCCGAATTTCGGGTTGGAGGGGTATGGCTTCCATCTGTGTTTTCTCAATGTTCGCCGATACCCCCCCCCACACCAGAAATGGAGGGCAAATCGGGACAATCGGGTTGGGTTGGGGGTGGGTTGGTGGGTGGTGCTGACCAGTTCCCCGAGCCGCGCCCATCCGCGGCGACGAGAACCTCCAGAAGCGCCCACCCACGCTGCAGACCACGACGACGCCGCGGCCCGCGCGCCGCATGCGGCGGGAGCCTGGGACAGAAGTGCATCCCTCGGCTGCACGCAAGGGTGACCCCTGGGTGAGAGTGATCTTTGGTGCGCGGTGTTTTGGGGGGGCCGCGGTGGGGGGGGGGCCAAACACGAGAGCGCGAGACGCTACTGCCGCCTCGCGTTCGGCGATCGAGGGGCCCCAGTTGGCCCGCACCAAAGGTCACTCCGGCGAAAGGTCACTCTTACGTCTAGTCGAGTTCTTCAAGACATGAGACCCTCCGCCGGCCAGACTGAAGCACCTTTGAGGGCACCCTCCTCCAGGATGCACACGATCATCCAACAAGCACGAAAAACATCAGGGTGCCCTCCCCCCCGAACCGACCTCGATCTCATGCCTCGGCCTGGCTGCAGATGGGGTCGGAGGACCGTGCCGCATCGACAGTGCCCCCCCTGACTACGAACCCGCCACGATTTGGGATTTTTTCAAGTAGGGCGGAAATGCTCGCCCTGCTTTTCAAGCTCCCTTGGTGTCGATTTCCGCCCTTCTTTGCCGTCGCTTTTTCCGCCATGCTTTTGCAAAGATATCCGCTCTTTTTCTCTGAGGCGGACATCTCCGCCCTACTTGTTTCGCCTCGTGGGGGGTGCATTGCCGACAAAGTTTAAGTCGAAACAATCAACCGATACGGCGGATCTGGAGTCAGGGCACACTGGAGTTGTCCCAGGCCAGAGCTACCCTGGACAGCTCGGGCGTCCAAATCTCCAGGAACCCCAGACGGGGTCCGGGCGACTGGGCGAGTGGGGCGAACAGTTCTGCCCCACCTGCGAATGTCGCCCGCAAAGCAAGCACGGCGGATTCGGAGTCGGGGTGGGCCCCCGAGGCACGCAGCAGGAGCCACCCCCGACCATCCCCAGCCCCGAGGATCCCAGGCCACCTTACACGCCAGACATGGGTACGGACACAAAGGGGTACAATGCCCGACAACAAGTGTTGTCCCACACCAGTAGCGGCCGCTGTTGGGCAGGCGGCCTCCTGTCTCAGATGGACACAGGCCGCGGCGGCGGGGACAGCGAGGCCTGTTCAAGATGAACAGGCACTGCTGTTGCGCACCGCGCCCGCTCTTTCCGCACCCATGTCGCTAGTGCCGAGCCACGAAGAAGGTCCTCGCCCCCGACGACCACGCACGCGCCCGCGCGGCGCAGCGGGCGGGGCCGCGCCGCCTCCGCCGCGCGGGGGCCCCGCGCGCCCGCGGAGGCGGCCCGCCGGTGCGCGCCGCCGCCGCCGCCGCGGGCGCTGGCCGCGGCGCGGCGGCGGGGGGCGCGGGGAGCCTCGGAGGCGCTGTCGGCTCGGCGCCGCGGGAGCTCCGTGGGGCCGCCAGGTCCGCCCTCGCGCTCGCCGACGATCGGAGGCGACGAGGGGGGCGAATGAATGGCCCAAGGGGGGAGGCAGTGCACGTATCCAGGGGAGCCGATGGACCATGCCTTCGGCGAGGGTCCCGGGCGAACGCGCGTCACGCCCGCCCCTGCGCTGTTCGCCCCTATCGTCGCCTCCGAGATTGGCCGCTGGCGCACGGCGGCACCGCCGCGGCGAGCGGGGTCCATGGCGGGCGGCGGGGGACTCCCACGACACGGGGCGCCCCGGGCCAATGCTTTGGGCCAGGCCCCGAACAGCTGGCTCGGTGCTGGGCGTTGGCGGGGGCGACTGCGGGGAACGCGAGGGTCTGGGGCCCCTTCTGGGGCCGCGGATCCAGCCGCAGCATCCCACATCTGGCGGGCATCGGCCGGAGTGTAGGACAGCGCAGAGGCGAGATCCGTGGGGTTCTTCCTCTGTGGTGCAACCAATGGAATGCAAACTGGACTAGGGGTTGCAGCCTGTGGGGCGCAGCCTTTGTGGCGCAACCCATGGGTGCGTCGTATAGGGTGCAACTTGATGAATGCAACCGATGTTTAAATAAATACAGATGGAATGCCGCGTATGGGATGCAACGTATGGAATACAACCTGTGAAGTGCCATGAAAGTGTGGGACCCAGTGGTTCTGGCCGCCGGGTCTGGCGGTGGATGCGACGCCAAACTGAGCAAGGACAACCAGACCACGAGCTGTGATAGAATACGCTCACCCCGACGTTCGGCCGCAACGAGTGGACGACAACCCAGCAAATCCCACCAGCCCTCTGGGCGTGAGTGGTTTAGGGCGTTTTCGCCGCTATCTTCCCTTATTCCCCTTCGTGGCGGGGCTTTATCACTGTTCACTATTAATACACACCCCCTCCTCTATGCGACCGGCAGTCAGCTTGGAACAATGAGGGCACCCCCCAACATCCCTTGTGAACTGCACTTTGCCTCCAAATCTGCGCGGACGCCCCGCGAATACTCTGTATTGGTCTTTGACAGGGACGGCGCGGGTGTCGGCATATTGCTTGATGCGCGCAGTCCAATCACTCCTGTCAAAAACAGTACAACATACACTTTGGCTCCAAATCTGGAGCATGCGCAGGGCCCTCTTTTCTCTGAGCTCTCATCTGTTTCAGGACTCCTCAAGATGTCACAATTTGTCCACTGTTGCCGGTGCTATGCGCTCCCTGGAGGAGCCGCCCTTCTCACAGAATGCTCGGCATTTCGCTTCAGGGGCATTCAAGATCCAGAACTCCTTGGGACCAAGGCCCCAGGCACCAGGGGGCCCCCATCGGCTCCCCGAAGCTGGCGCACCTGGCGCGGCTTGGCGCACGTGGGGCATGTGCCGCACCTGGCACGCTCGGGCCCCCAGGGTGGCTGGTATGCCTGGAACCCACGGCGCGCACGGCATGTGCGACATTCCTATGCGATCTGCTGACGCTCGGGTGTTAGTCGGAAGGGCGGGTGGGAATGAGCTAGACGGCCTGCTATCCTGGAGGGTAGCTTGGCCCCTCCCCCTACCCCCTCCCCCTGGACCTGGACGGGGCGCCCCGCGACCCATTGGAGCGTCCAAGATGCCCTATGATGGCTCCAAGAGGGCCTCAGAGAGCCCAAGATGGCCTCCAAGACGGCTCAAGAAGTGGCCTCAGAGCACCCCCAAGAGAGCACCCAAGAGGCCCAAATCCTTTAAAATCTGAGGGAAATTCATGGTTTTTGCTTTCTCGCCTTTTCGCTTCCAATGGCCTTCCGAAGTCTCAAGATGGCTCCAAGATGGCCCAATAAGGCACCAAGAGAAGCAAGAGGGCCCCAAGGCGGCCCCAAGAGCGCCCAATAGCGTTCCAAGAGCGTTCCAAGAAGGTCCCAAGAGGCGATTTAAAGGCTCTAGCGGGGCGCCGGTAATCCCACCAGCCCTTTGGGCGTGAGTGGTTTCGAGAGCCCGCTCTGTCCTCACCCCCCCTTCTTCCCCTCCGGGGAGGGGTTTACCCCTCCCCCTACCCCCTCCCCCTGGGCCTGGAGAGAGGCCCCGGCGGGTGGTCAGGGGGGTCTTTTTCGACTCCTGGGAGGGTCAAA